ACCCAGAAATGATGAGGGGTAACTTAAGTTGGCACTTTGCATCAGATTATTGTGCAGTTCTTTGCCATTTCAACTCCATTAGAACTGAATGTAATCTACCGTGCAAGGTTCAAGATATAGTTGTCGGTATGTATGCAAGCGACGGAAGAACGGACAGGGTATAATGAATAAAGCCCGCTCTTACGGAGTTCATGTTTTTGTTTATAACAGCTCTTGTTGCAAGGTTCAAGATAGTTGTCGGTATGTATGCAAGCGACGGAAGAACGGACACGGTATAATGAATAAAGCCCGCTCTTACGGAGTTCATGCTTTTGCTTATAACAGCTCTTGCCCCGACGCCCCAGCGGTGTGTGACTGGAACGCATACAACAGCGCCAGCCCCAACGTCCACGTCCTGACCGGAGCCTTGGTGGGCGGTCCTGATAGCAGCGACAACTACAAGGACGAACGCAGTAATTACATCTCCAACGAGGTCGCCACAGACTACAACGCCGCGTTCCAGGGTCTTCTGGCTTACTTGATAAAGAATAATCTGTAAATTTACGCATCAGTGCTATGACATAAATGCGATGGATGTGCGCAAAATGACAAGAAAACTGTAATATTTAAACAGAATATGCAATAAAATATTTCATTTCAAGTCCTTGCATTTTATTTAGAATATTCTTCCAGTGCTATGTAGGTGGATGATGGTTGTCGGGGCGGTTCTCAGTGTATGTTGTTATAATCAGCAATGTCGGCCACATCCTGGAAGCGCCAGTGTCCTCACAAACCATTGATTACCTCAGATATACGCAAAGCGATGAACCATATAGTGCATGTTACATCAACACAAAACGGAAAGTATGATTTATTTTCTTCGACAAACTGTTAATACTAAGACTAAATAATTTATTTCATTCCGGCTAATATATACAACTGCTGGTTGGTTATTTAGTAGAGGTAACCACTGCAATTTATCGAGACGCTAACGGAACTAGCATAGCCATATTAATAGGTCCCCCTCCGGAACCGTTGACGTCTGCTTGCTATCTCGACGATGGGAAAAGTCACCTGTGACTACTTGGAACTTTCCTGGCAACGAAAATGGCATTTTACTTGCGTTTAGCTATCTTTGTTGAAGTTTTTACTTATATGAGAAACTGCTTTAACTTTATAATTCAACACTTCTGTACTGAGAAGCTCACTAGAATCTTACGTATTTCTTTCAAACCATATCTAACTTTCCTTAATTTTAATTCACTTTAAGGTCCTAAATTCTTACATTACGGTAAGAGAAAATTCCATCAGGTTAGCACATTATCACCAGTTAGTTACAATAAAGTGTGAACAAATTCTACATAAAAATAAAATAATCAGGACTGTCGAAGTTGTTGATGAGTAGAAAAAGGCACATTCTTATATAAATTCACAACAAGGGTATTGGAGCCTGTTTCAAACTAACGTTGTGTAAGAGTAAATTTGACGCACAGACAATGTTAAAGCAAATCAACACTGACGATTATTGCATTATTTCAGTGGACTCTGTGCATGTTGAACGGGAATGTTTAACTACTATTAGGCAATTATCTGGTTCAATTACATTTTGTTCCTTTAGGTTGGTGCACTTATCTTCGCGTTGTCTGTGTTGGTCATCTGGGTTGTGAGGTCGTGAGAACTTAATAGTAGTTACTAAAGCTTCTGAAGAACATAAACCAATGAAGAAGTAGAAAGTACGTTTTTCCGGAACGTTACTGTCAATTTACAAGTCCGTATGTTGTCAGAAGCTACAAGACCAACATCGACAACTCCACCGCTGTGATAACCTCAAAGTCATAATTTTTAGTGCTGGATAAAGGAAATGTTAAGAACATAGAAGATTGTCAGGCTAAACTTTAAACATCTGAAGTGCATATTTTGTTACTGCTGCTGTGTTCAATGATGCTGTTATGCTGCGAGTATCTTTATCATGTATTTATTACGTCTTTCTTCCTCTTCTTTTGTTCCGGTTTACTTATAACAGGATAACATAACACAGCTTTATCATGATCATCCACTGATCTAATCTATATTGATAATTAATTGTATCGCGTTTCAATTAATGACCAAAGACGACTCAGTTTGGTGACAAATGATAAAATCACTTAGTAAAAATCCTAGTTTCATAAGTAGTATATGATTTATATTAGGTCATTGTCTATTGCCACTTTGTATGTTTACTTCCAATATAAAACTGATAAAACGCTATAGCTATACAGATGAACGAAAAGTCCATCGCAAGGCGGTAGACTCCGAGAACACGAAAATCTACAAAAGTGCAGCTGGATCATCAAATTAACAGTCACTATTTTACATCAGTCCAAACCGTGTGTGCCTCCGATCGACCGATTAATCTGTACTTCCTATACTCCAA